CTCTCATTTATTTAGCTATTGGGGTGAAACTTGCTATAATGTTAGATGTTTTGTCTTATGTCTGTTATAATAGGCTGTGGTTTTTATTTAATTTTAGTTGTTAAGTTATAATTTATGTTTATATGTTGGGTTGTTTAAATTTTGTTAGTATGGATGTATTGTTGTTGTATTCGGGCATTGAATGTTTACCTTTTATGTTTGGAATCTGCCCTGAGTCCCTTTGGGGAGATAGAGCGGAATATAAATAAAGTTTTGTTATTTTTTATTATTATAGAACACATTTACCACTGATAGCCCACCAAGTTTCAGAATGTTTTACTTATCCACAGAGTTTTTGGGAATTTTCAAAGTTTTTATAAACAACATTTTTAATAATAAAATAGGTTCCTAGTTTGAAAGTGTTATTTCCTGTTTAATGATGTACTCCTTACTTTGAAATTAGTTGTTCTACTTCACTGAAAAACTGTCATGCTATAGCATGATGTGTCTCCTGAAAAGATAAAGTTTTTGAAGTTTAATAAACTTTCCTCATGTTTTTATGATAGAACTAATTAGGAAATAACATTTATAACCCAGCAACAAAAATCATAGTGTAGAATAATAATAATAATAATAATAATAATAAACCTTTATTTGTACCCCGCTACCATCTCCCGAAGGACTCGGTGCGGCTTACACGAGGCCGAGCCCAAAATACAACAATAAACAACAACAACAATAATACAGCAAAATAAAACAAAACAAGCAATAACATTAACAACACGCAGTGACGCAGTTAAAACAATGGCCAAGCCAAATGTAATAATTAAAATTAAAATTAAAAAGTGCAGGGCATGACAGGTGGGGTGTTTGGAGGAGGGTGGGCATGCAGATATCCTAAATCTCTGATAAAGTGCATTGGGACATAATGCTAAGAGTTTCCTTATTCTGGAAAGGCACACTGGAACATCCATGTTTTCAAGCTCCTCCTAAAGATTGCTAGCGACGGGGCCTGCCTAATGTCCTGATTAACCTATTTATTGGAACTCTGGCTGAATATGGAGGGACAAATCTCTCTCCCCCCTAGCCTGATTGGGGTTTTTTTTTTAAATGCTGATACATTCTGGTAAATGTAGTTTAGGGCAGGGTCTTCTGAATTCTCTGGCATAAGGGCTCCTTGCCTTCCCAAAGTACATTTCCCAGAGTTCTGTGCTTCTTCTCAGGGAACTCTGCTTTCTCACTCCTTTCCCTCTCTTAATGGTGAGAGGCTATTAATTTAGAAAATAATGGGAGCCCTTCTGACTTTGCTTTGCTTGCTTGCCATGAAAATGAAGCTGACTTTGGGAGGGAGCCTTCCAAGATTTACAAAATATAAATGAAAATGTATTGGGTAAGTTTTGATTCTAATGTTTTTGTTGTGGGCCATGCCCATGTGTAGGATATTGCTTTGGATGTACAGATTTAATGAATTTTCTTACAATTTACAAAACTTCCAAAAATTTTGCAAATTCCATGTGTGTGTGTGTGTATATATATATATATCTTCTATCTATCTATCTATCTATCTATCTATCTATCTATCTATCTATCTATAGCTTTTACAACTGCTTCTTTCTGTATAACCATGTTGCTTTTCACTGTAGGTTATCCAAGCAGGAAAAGGGCTCTGCCTTGGTAATCTACGATCACTTGACAGTAAAACCCAAGTGTGTACGTTGCTTGCATTCCTCACAATAATTCTTACATTACTAAAATGCTACTGGTAAAGCTTCAGAGGATTTAAGGAATACTTTTCAGAGTCTCAGTCAGTTTATTTGGACATAAAAGGAGAGTTTTGCAGAAAAAGACATGGTGATAAATGAAATGGCAAGCCTCCATAAAACACATTTATGAAGGTAACACCATTTTTGTTGCTTAGAAATCGTCTGGATGAACAGAAGAGGAACCATGGAGGACTATATATTTAAAAGATCAAAGGAAAATTATGTTACTGCCTGGAGAAGAAAATTAATGGTTTTTTCTGGCCTTTGAAAGAAATTATAGAGGAAGCACAGCAGCCATTCTTAAAAAGGCTACACATTGCCATGTTTTAACAATGAGTGCAGCAGGGTTATTTTCTCTTTTGTAATTCGAGGAAATGCAAGGTGGTTGACAAAATATGAAGCCAATGCAAATGCATTTGAAATAAGACTTTAAATTATACAGCATCTAGGACAGATAAACATACAGCCATACAGTACAAAAATTACAAATATATAATAATTATATAAAAGCAAAGAGGCTCATGTAAACATCACCTATCACTAATATCATATATCAATTCTGTAAGTACATTCACTTGCTCATTTCAACTCTTATTCATTTCATTGCTTTTAGTTCTTTTTAAAATTTAAAGTATTTAAAAAATTATTTATAATTTTATTCATAGTTTGATTACACTGCAATGATAATTATTTGTATGGATTTATCTACATTATATCTGGTAGATTTTGTAAAGCTCTTTGGTTTCAAATGGAGTAACACCATAACTGATGGAAGAACTGAATGGATTTTTAAAAGCTACTGACCTAACTTGGTCCCTCTTTGATAACCTCTCATGATACCTCAATCTTCCCATAGTATTGTTAACATGTGCGTATATAGGATAGTAGAGCAAAATGCAGACTCAAACAGATTTCTTGTTATCGATTCAATTCAACCACCACGACAAAAACAAATTTTTGGGAATTAATTAATATTTTATTTAATATCAGAAAAATGTTACTAGCTGATATACTATATATTTTGAAACCAAAATTCATATGTGGTACAAGCAATCTAAAATCATGCCATAGATGTTCAGAAAATATCTTCACATAAAATTGAACACAAAGACTAGTCACATGAACACAAATTCTACATGGCCCTTCATGCAGAAATAAGATATACTGCCATATACTGTAATGGTTCACCTACATAGGATTTGGTGTAGCTTCATGAGACCAGGCAATCTGAAGTCATGTCCCTAATGATGGCCAGATGATGTAATAGAAGGCTGACTTTAAAGTACCTGGGTCAGAAGCTGTTTATGGCTTTCATTTAATACCAGCAACTTGAATTGAGCCTAACAACAAACAAGTGAGCAGAAATACTTCATTTTTACCAGTAATCCTTACTACCACATTGTGTACCAAAAACTGCTTCCAGATAGTTTTTGAGCAGACATATGGGATACAGTTATCTAGTTTGAAGATACTTGGGCATGAATGGCAACACCTAGCTTTGGCTGTTATGGTGTATCTGGTGAACTGGTGACATTCAAATATGAGACTATTTTAATCAAATATCTGTTTGCAATCTAGCAAGCAGACAAGAGACTTGATTTTTCAGAGGGAGTCCTACTTCATTCAACACAGGCTAATCCCATCAAATGCTTTATCATTCACACTACTTCTGTGTTCATGGGACGACATTTGAGCTCCACATTTAAGATAAACAGGAGAAACAACAATGTTCCCCTTCTTATCACCTGGCAGAAATCTTGCACTTCTCTAAAACCAAAGCAATTCCTGACCCAAAACTAGGTTAAAAGTCGGGTTTGAAAGCTTCAATAAAATTGGTTTCATCAATTTATCTCTGAGACTGCAATACCACAACTTGTTCTCAAATGTTCCCCACAAAAATAATATTTGAAACTAATCTATAATTATTAATATCTGAAGAATCCAAACATGGTGCCCCCCACCCCCAGAGGCTCTACCACAAGCTCCTTCAGTACTGAAAGTACATGTCCTTCCTTTAAGGAACACTAACAATTTACAGTCCCAAGTGTACAAATTCTGATTATATTGATCTCAGAAGCCACAAAAGAAGGTTGAATGCCAAAATGGTGGACTGTACTTCTCAATATTTTTTCCCATCTTCACAAAGCCAGAAAGCTTCAAGGAACCAATAGAAACAGACACACAGAGGCAATACTCCCCTTCCCAGAAAAACAACTGACAAACTATGGTCCAAGTGGATCTGTGTGGGTTTTTCCCCCTGCAAAATGTTTTGCAAGTAAGTTGCAGTAGGTTTTTTTCAGAGGTCCTCCGCTTCTCTTTGTAGAGAATGCTGTAAATATAATACAAGGAGCAAGTCTGATATCTAGCCCAGAACAAATGAAAAGTATTTTGCAAACAGATCACAGTGATTTTCTGTGGAGTTCTGAGATGTATGCAAATCTTCTGTGACATCCACATTGTCATGGAAGATGCTTGCAAATGAGCTATAACAGACTATGTGCTAAAACAGATTTGTTCTGGGTTTTATCCACTGTTATTCAAGCCATATTGCCCCACGTTTAATCATTCTCAGTTTCCTAGCAAACCAGAAAGCCTTATGAATTCTGCAAGAGAAAAGAGGCTGGTTGGTAGTGTTTGCAGTACTTGTCCAGGTCATCTTGATATTCTACAAACTGACCACTGATTATTTCAACCGCTATACAATCTACAAGATTTCTGGAAAAAAACAAACTCAAAGCCATCTGGAGCCACATTTTCTGAACACAAGCAATCTTAATATGCTTAAATCTGCTTAATTCAGAGGTTTTTAAAAAGTCTAAACCTAACTAAGGTGGTAGAATATGCATAACAAAAACATCACTACTTTCATGACAATATTATAATGCACTCTTCATTGCACCTACCAAATTCTGGTATAGTTTTCAAAATTAAATTCATAGAACATGCATAAAAACCAATGAACATCACTTAGCCATGTGTATTATTAAAAATTGAAGGGGTATGCATGAAACCACAGTAGCTTGTATCATTAGCACTTCCACAAAGCAGTGTGGAAACAGAGGAAAATCTAGGACATCAGGCATGTCAAACAAAAATCAAGCATGGATTTCAACATTATATTAATTTCAGTGAATGTAACACTTTTTCACTTGATTAGTCTGGTTTTAACAAACACCATCTATGTCATTTTATCCTGAAACTATTAACTATATTCTGCTATATGCGTTTTAACTGATAACACAAACAGCATAAACTCACCATCTAGGTCTGTAGTAATTGTGATAGCTGTGAACTGCTTGGGTAAAAAACTTAATTCGGAGACTCCATTCATGGCTTCGATTTCAAAAGTGTAGTTCGCGTGGGCAACAAAATCAAGTACAGTCACTGAAGAATTGACTAGGCCAGTATGCCTTGGAATGAATCTGATCCCTCCTCCACATATCTCACACTGGCTGGCATCAGATCCACATTTCTTACAAATCACACTATAGGTGAGATCTTTTCTTCCTCCTGTGTCACTTGGTGGACTCCATTCCAACATGAGAGCTGTTTCATTTATATTAAAGATAATGTTCCTTGGAGCAGAAGGTGGTCCTACAAAATTTTTAAAAAGGTTGTATGAGTGCTAGTGGATATTAAAAAAATCACTTTTTTGAATTTTTGTTAAATTGAATGTACTTAATGTAATGAAACAAGGTTTTAATCTGCTAAAAATGATCAGACTTATACACTTTTACAGAAAGTTTGGAAACTAATGAGTGAGAAAAAGACAGATAGTTTTTAATGCCAGTGCCAGGTTTATTTATTTATTTAAAACATTTATATTCTGCCCTTCTCACCCCAAAGGGGACTCAGGGCAGACGACAACATATATAGAGCAAACATTCAATGCCGGAACATAAAATAAACTATAAAAATACATAAAGACTAAAATCAACTATCTCCACTTTAAAAACAATTGCTTAAAACCATCTCAGATCAGCCATACCAGATCCTATTGTTGCCTTATTGCACTGTCCCAAAGGCTTGGTCCCACAGCCAAGTTTTTACCATCTTTCTGAAGTACAGGAGGGAGGGGGCTGATCTAAGCTCACCGGAGAGGGAGTTCCATAGCCAAGGGCCAATCACTGAGAAGGCTCTCTCTCTTGTTCCCACCAATCATGCCTGTAATGTGGCGGGACTAAGAGCAGGGCCTCCCTGGAAGATCTTAATCTCAGCGGTGATTAGATGTGAGGGAGATGTGTTATGATACTATATAATTGTATCATAGAGGTCATTATAGAATATAATTCTTACCCATAATTTTATCCATGATTTCCCACTTGATATTTTTATGTAGAGTATAAATCATATTGGTTTCAGATACAGAATGTTTTTTCTTTAAAATTATTGTTCCAGGACTGCATTTCATAATGTAGCATTTGAATACTATTTGGGATTTTTATCTCTTCAGGATTGTTATCCCTTCAGGATTTTTATCTCTGGTGCTAATAGTTAATATGCTGAACATTTCTCAATTCTTCAGATTTCTGAGCTGGTGCTACAAGATAGAGGAAGGATTGCCCCCACAGCTCATGCTCACAGAGTATAATGATAGTGGCCTCCGTTGCATCCAGGTAAAAGAGATACAGGGAGCTTAATGCAACCTCCTTCCTATCTCTGAATAACCCATCTACAAGGTTGAAGATTGTTTTTTAAGTGTTGAATTAGAGAATAAGTTGTACAGAACTTTGTTGAAGACCCAATTCCTCAAAAGCTAGGGCTACAGATAGCTAACAAACATACTGTACAACCATTGCAGTTAGTTTTATTTATTTGTGTCTTGATATTACTGTTCCTATATGTAAAATACACATTATATGAGTCAGCCTCCAGTTTAAAACATTACCAGGTTGGAGTAAAAAGGACAAATTCACATTAGGTTTAAGGAGTGACAACATAGCTTCAGAATACCTCTATTCATTTAGTTGCCATTTAGTTGCCAAATATAGAATTCTATATTGATAACACCTGAAAGAAGATGGGAGGGAGGTAGTGCAGAAATAACTCTTCTTTTTTGCAGTTTGCTAATCATCATTAATAATTATGTGCACCAAAGAGATATATACAGGATTTCGGTCTTTGTTTGAAAGAAAAAAAAGTTTTATTATGTACTCATTCTGTTATGAATGGGAAAATTGTTATCAAATGTGATAGGAGTGCTCAAAAGTTTATAAATGTCTGCCTGTAGACGCTGAAGAAATAGACACCCTTCATACTCAAGGGCCCTCATGCCAATTTGCATGACGATTAAATAGGTTTTTAATTGCCATTAAATTATGCCATCTAAACTGTGATTTCATGCAAATATTAAGCTGTAATGACATGCAGTGAATCATTTACTAAGATTTAGAACTTGGAACAAAGGGAGACAATTAATTCTAATCCTCAGATTCTGCTAAATTATGTGTCATTGGGATTTTTATGAATGTGGCCTGATTGCTTTGTTATCACTTATAAATTATGCATAGATTATATGTCACACAGAAAAAAAACCTGGCAGGCATAACCTTTTTACAGACATCTGCGAGCAATATGCCCAGGATTTTCCTTGTACTACATATTTTGTTTAGGCAAGCAAGAATACTGATGATTTTAAATGAGTAATGTATTTCTAACATGCCTACTTTAGTTTTGTACAATAAGAGCCTAATAATTAGATGAACATCTGCATGACTTATTTTATAGAAAAACATATGATGCACAGGATCTATAGGGAATACACTAAGGAGCGACTTAAAGAGCCGGGCATGTTTAGCCTGCAGAAGAGAAGGCTGAGAGGAGATGTGATGGTCATGTTGGAAACTGCCTTGAGTCTCCCCGGGGAAGAAAAGCTGTATATAAACCAAGTAAATAAATAAATGTATAAATATGTGAGGGGAAGGCATAGGGAGGAGGGAGCAGTGTTCTTTTCTGATGCCTTGGAGACTAGGATGTGGAGCAATGGTTTCAAACTACAGAAAAGGAGATATCTGGACATTAGGAAGAACTTCCTGACTGTGAGAGCTGTTCAGCAGTGGACTATCTGCTCCAGAGTGTGGTGGTGGCATCTTTTTTAGAGGCTTTTAAGCAGAGGTCGGATGGCCATCTGTTGGAGGTGCTTTGATTGCAATTTTCCTGCTTCTTGGTAGAGGGGTTGGACTGAATGGCCCATGAGGTCTCTTCCAACTTGATGATTCTGTGATTCTAGGATTCAGATATACATTAAGGTTTTTACATAACTTTTCTGAGCAGCAGACCTATGCTATGGGTAAAATCCAATAGAATCTCAACTGATGGAACAGACTTTGTCTCAGTTTCCACTCCAGAACAGCCCTGGAAGGTTAGGAAGACTCCTGCTTGATCTTGAGTTGACATATTGAAACTTGTTGTAAATGATAACATATCGCAATTTTAGAATCGAAACAATTTCAGAAATACTCAATATAACCCGGAATTCAGAATAAATAAATAAATAATAATTTAGATAAATCATAACTTAGGATGAATTGAACAGAAGACATTGTAAATCTGGGAAACTCTACAGGAGATTTTTTAAACAAACTATTCTTAGTGTTTCCAATCCAATAATATGGTGTTTTCCAATATCCCACCAATGACTAAAATAGATGTCATGCTGTTCACAAGCTACTTTGCATCTCAGTCACAATCATAAAAGTGAGATGCAACTAAATATATAACAATAATTTATCCAATAGAACATGTCCTAATGAAGATGTCCAATAGAAGATGGCGGGAGTGTGTTTTGGGAAGCCGTGTGGGCAGCTATCCATAGTATAAAATCATTATTCTTGTTGCAAAGCCTGTAGGACAGGTTTTTAGCCCTAGGTTTCAAATTATTTCCAAAGGCACATATTGATTCTTGTTCTTTTGGATCTCAATCAGCTTTAATGTTGGATTGTAGTTATAAAATTGTGCATTTGGCTCCACAATGCAATTCCAGATTACTTTTTACACAGCTGGGCTACACTATTTGCCTTTAGGGATGAGTGAGGGGAATTGGAATAGCTTGATTTTGTTTTAATGGGTCATTTGATTCTGATCCATAATGTTATAATTCTGCTTTAAACTCTAAGCACTGTACTGCATTTTAGTATTTCAAAAGGAGTTGGTATTTATTATCTCAAGGGCATTCTGCAGATATGTATTTTACAGATATATTGCAGAGCATGTCCATATTTAGTCATTTTTATAACTTCTATTTTATAACTAGGAAAAAAGCAATTAGGATAGAGATGTTAGAGGTTTCAAATAGGAGCAGAATGACTGATTATATACTTTTCCTCCCCCATTATCCCTTTAGGATACTTAATTTTTGCCAGTGTGTTGGGAGCTATTTGTTGCATAACTATAATGTTCTGTTCAAGCCTGTGAAATGCAGAAAAGAGTCAGATCTGGAATAGCCATTTTAGCTACTATCGAGTGATCCTAATACATGCATTGTACAATATCATGCCTATGCACCTAGCCAATTGCTGGGACTAGCCCAGTGGTTCTCAACTTGTAGGCTGCGGCCCACTGGTGGACTGCGAGATCTAAAATAAGGTCCGCAGATCTAGATGATTAAATATGTTTTTCTGTGGATAAGCAGATAGTGACTACTGGATGGCATATTTTCTGTATCAGAAAAAAAAACTGATTTGGTCTATTTAAGGCAATTTTCTGAATCTGCACCCCAAATAACCAAACTAAATCTAAAGCTGACTAAAAATTCGTAATCCTTTTTCCAATTGGTCCTATTTCCAATTTTCTATATTGTCATTGATCTATGTCAATGGCAGTCTTCCTGCTTATTTTTTTTCTAACCAATGTAAGCTTTTATATGAAAAGTTAGATGAAAATGTTTTATTTCTTTGATTTACAATTAAAAAGCTAAACTGATTGACAACACAAAGAGATGTCAGAGATGGTTTACTAAATATTTCTGGATAGGTAGTAAATCATCTTGTGGAACTAAAAGATGGAACTATCTCTGGAACTAAAAGCTGATATGGATAAAGCTACATAAAATAAAGCTTAATCTAAAACATTGCAAAGAAACTCTGAGGTGGGAGCCCTTCACTTAATCGGAAGACATATGTTAGCTTAGGAAGCTGGCAAATATCAGCAATGCAAGTCAAACTTACTGGGTGCAGAACAAGCACTTCTTGGCCACCTTGTCATAAATATAACCAGGTGTCTATACTCGGATACATCATATATGACTTGAAGGCACACAATAACAACAATACTTATTAACTCAACTAGCTCATCAGCCAAAAGCAGACCCACACTTCTCATTGAAATACGGGTAAGTTTATGTTGGTTGAAATTGTTCTTCATTTTAAATATTGTATTGTTATTTCATATATTTTTCTGGAAAACAAATAAAATATGTGCAGTGTGCATAGGAATTCATTCATTTTTTTCCAAACTGTAATCAGGCTCCCCTACATTCTGAAAGACCATGAACTGGTTCTCTGTTAAAAAAGTTTGAGGACCCCTGACCTAAAGATTCATAGAGATGTGTTCTTTCTGGAAATATTTTAGAATTTCCAAGGTTTTTAATTTTCAAGGGGTCCTGTGCTTCCTACCCAGGTGAATTTGGAGAGTGGACTGTACTGGTAAATAAATTTGAAAGTTGTGGACATTCTGTTAATATCTGGAAAGTTGCTTTATTTATTGTTGCAGTTTTAAATATGCACTTAAAGAGGACCATTTTAATTTATTTAAAGGACTCCCAAGAAGCAATGAAAATTTGATTTGCATTCATTAATAACAAAAACTTGTTTTCATAATCTCAGCTTTTGTAAAAGGAATGTAACGTTACTGTGATTTTCTATTTTTTTTTAGATACCAAGATAAAAAAAGTAACATTGCAAATACCATTCTGAATCAAACTTACGGGTACATGCCATAGTTGGTGGATCTTTCTCAGCTCGATAGTAACCCTTTTCACACTGACACACAGATGTTGCTTCCACGAAGGTTTGACTGTGTGGAGGGCACTTGGAACACTTTATATTTCCAGCAAATGCTTTATAAAATCCTGGTCCGCAAGCTGTGAAAAAAGAAAAATAATTCACTATATACATACATTCAGTTATATGCAAAATACAATTCCAGCTTTCTACCTGACTCTTTCAATGCCTTATTATAGTCTAATGACCTTGAAACAGAAAACCTACGACAGTTTGATATGTTTGAGTCTGAAACCATACCTGACAGCTGTGTTCTTAATGAATGTGTTCTTTTACTTTTATTAATAGACACCAATTCTTGTCTATATGAGGAAAGAAAATAAATTGAATTGTACTCAGACTCAGTGACCTACCTCCACTGAATAGGATCCAGATTATGTTTTTAAGTGCAAAGCACACTGAAATGTTTTGCAATTGTAAGTCCCTGAGACATGGATGTCCTTCCATTCTCCATATTATATTATAATATTGTGTGTGTGTGTGTGTGTGTGTGAGTGTGTATGTGTGTGAGAGAGGTTTGAATCCGGGGAGTCGCATGAGCTCTCACTGTTAGTCCCAGCTTCTGCCAACCTAGCAGTTCGAAAACATGCAAATATGAGTAGATCAATAGGTATCGCTCTGGCGGGAGGGTAACGGTGCTCCATGCAGTCATGTCGGCCACCTTGTCTATGGACAATGCTGGCTCTTTGGCTTAGAAATGGAGATGAGTACCAACTCCCAGAGTCGGACACAACTGGATTTAATGTCAGGGGCAAACCTTTACCTAATACATTCCCATACATGTTTACAAATAATTTTAAGTAGAGTCATGCCAGCCATTAACCATATGCCAGTATATAAAAATGTTTCATACACGAGAAAAATGCTGTTGGAAACCTCCCTTAATTAGTTAAGACTTAAATAAGATGCACCCCAGGGCTTAGCCTTAGCCTATGGGTGTCAAACTCACTTTCACCAAGCTTTAAAGCAAGGACTAGATACTAGAGCCATCTAGAGCCATTTTAAAAACACTATTTTTATCTTTCTTAAAAACATTTGTATTTATTGCATATCATCTTAGCAGCCCAGGAAGTCTGAAAGGCATTAAATCCACTTTCTTTCTCTTTGTCTCCCTCTCACCTAGAGAAATGATGGCATATAGTTCTAATCACCCTCCAAATACTCCCAAATGCAATGCAATATATGCATTAAGAATATTTTATAACCGATGGATTTATTTACAAGAAACATCACAGTTTGAAATAAATTCTAGATAGTAGTTGACAGCTATTATGCACAAAATAGACATTATATGCAGACAGAAGAGTGCCCAATATTCTCACAAGATATCTGATAGAAGCAGCTAGAGCATGATTGGACTCTAGGGACTGATTAAGCAGGGGGACTGTTTGTGTTTATCACTGCATGCCATATTTTCTTTAGAATTTATAAATCTGAACATCAGACTGACTATGTTTGAGGGTTTGTTTTCTTGGCAGAACAGCTGAAGTACAGGTAGCTACTTTTACACAAGGCTGAAGTTCAAGAGCAGGAGAAAGGGGATTTGGATTTGGTTTTCCATGTTTCTCCTTTCCTATCAAATAAATCATTATTGAAAGTTTAGTCTTTTCATGACAATTATGTACTTGGTGCAGCGGGTTAAACCACTAAGCTACAGAACTTCCTGATTAGAAGGTTGGAGGTTTGAATCCGTGGGCAGGGTGGGTTCCAGCTTCTGCCAACCTAGCAGTAAACATGCAAATGTGAGATCAATAGGTACCACTTCAGCAGGAAAGTAACAGCACTCTATATGGCCATTCTGGCCACATGACCTTGGAGGCATCTATGGACAACACTGGCTCTTCAGCTTAGAAATGGAGATGAGCACTACTCCTAGAGCCAGACATGACTAGATTTAATATCAAGGGGAAACCTTTACATTTACTTTATGTGTTCATAACCCAAAACAGCTCTACTTGTGACTTCTTGAATCAGACAGACACCAGATTTTTTTTGTCTGCCATAGAAAATAGATTCTGTTCAGTACAGTAAGCAGTACAGGTCTAATTAATAATAATGAAGACACGACAGGGACTTTCCAAAAACTCTGTTGAAATGAGGCTGTCTCACACCAGAATTCATGGAATCAAAGCATGCTAATTCAGGCCTACACAACCTGTGGCCATCCAACTGTTTTGTACACCCAATTTGCTGCCTGCACAAAGCCTAGATTCTTTGACAGAAAGGAGACATGGGACACAGTGAAGGATAAGGCAAGCTGAAGCTTTATTAGATGTACATGATCCCACCCCCTGCTCCCCCAGCAAAGAGTCATGTTTGCCAGGGGAGGTATGTGAACAAAGAGGGTTTTTAAAAACATGCCCGCACCTTGATGAAATTATCACTTTCATATTTCTATTGAGAACCAATCACCTTGAAAACTTAATTTAGAAAATATTTATTTATTTAAAATATTTCCAAGTTGTATTTTAGGGGGAATGTTTCAAAGGAAACACACACACACATTATATATATATATATATATATATATATATATATATATATATATATATAGGCAAAAACACTAAAGATAAAAAGACAGTGATAAAACGAAAAGATCAATAATGAACAGTGAAAATCATATCTAAGCACGATTTATGTTTCCTTCATACTATAATTTTGTGTGTGCAAGATAAACTGGAGATTTGTATTTATAGAGGCGTTTAGTATAAATCCTTGCTTGGAAGTAGAAAGAACGGTGTTAAAACCTGTTGCTTGATATATTGATAGCCAGATTACTAATCAGTGCTTGATTAAATTTGTAAATTGCTAGCATATAATGTGACCTCACTTAGATATACCCATTAGTGCTATAATCATGTCTTACCAAGTGATAGAGTAAATATTTCATTGTCACAATACTGTAGTATACATGATGAAAGAAGGCTTTAAAAACAGTTTCCTGCTGCTCAGAGGATAGTGTGTGTGTGACCTCAAGAAGAGAATGTATTTTGGGAGAATCACAGTCTTATACTGAATTAGGAGTCAGACTGAATACACAATGCACATTGTACATTTCCATTGGGGTAGCCAAGACTCACTTAGGCATGTGCTGAGTACATTGATTGTGGTCAAGAAGCCTAGAGGTGTCCTGCCAAAGCAGCAGTCACCCCATTAGTATGCCAGGGGGAAATGAAGTGCTAAATTGATTGTGTGTTCCTGCATGACAGAGAGTTGAACTAGATGGCCCTTGTGGTCTCTTTCAACTCTATGATTCTATGAAATTGAATACTAAAATTTGCACCATGCTTTTTTCTCCTAAGTTTAAGAGACGAGGACAATATCATTTCATAGAATCATAGAATCATAGATTTGGACAATTCCAGCCCACAAATGCTAGAATTCCCTTCTCTCTGACCAGATATTTGAGATATCCCCCTATTCTTTGATATCCTACTGCTGCCACCATAAAATGTAAAGGATGAATCAGTCAGGTGAAACCCCTCACCAAAAATATAAATGATCTATTAGGCAGGGGGGAATTTTGAGAGCCCACCTCTGCCACCCACAATATATAAAGGATCCAACCTGGGAATGCCTATTTCTGCTGCCACCAGGCATGTAGCCGGGGGTGGGGGGGGCTCGGGGGGCTTCAGCCCACCCCCCCCCGAAATTCTCATGGTGGTTCGCGAAAAGGCCTTACTGGTGCATTATTTAAACTGTTATGTTTATTCATATCATGATCTGATCACCATACTCAATATATCCCATATGCATGGGGGTATTGGGGTACTGATACAAAAGGTTTGCTAGGGTAGACCCTCTTTCACTCAGACTCAGCCCCCCACCCCGAACCCCCCCTGAAAAAAATTCAGCCCCCCCCCCCCCCGAAACGAAATCCTGGCTACGGGCCTGGCTGCCACCTTTTGTGTTCAGGAGCCTTGCTTTACTAACGTTGAGGCTTAGAGATGAGAGTGAGACTTTGCATAAGATGAAACAATAACTGTTTGTCTCCTTTGAGGTACAGAAGCATGATGGTTTCAAGAATATATATACAGTACAGATGCTTTGTGGTTACAATGATGGTTATGGATTATACTCTTATGAAGATGTTACTTTAAAAATAGTTTCTGTGTGACTTTCATTTATGTATTTCCTCAGCCTTTCATTCATAAAAGGCTTTTATAATATTACTCCTAAAACTGATTTCTGAAAAAACCTACACTCCTTAACCGGACACTGAAATTCTGACAACTCTGCACTTTAAAACCTCTTTGTGACTAACTGTCCTCTCTGAGCTCCTTGATACCAGCTAACTGCACTAGCTACCCTAGCTAACTGAAAAATAAAATGTGCAGTTGGCCTCTTTTAACTGCCATTTTTTACTCTGCCCATCTCTCATGCCTCAGCACCTGCTCATTTGCATCTGGCCAATCAGGCCGTTCCTATGCAAATAGCTCCTCCTCTGGTTCTGCTGCACGATGAGAGCCACAAAAGGTATGCCTAACTTCCTGGTTTTACAAAATGGTTGCCCACACACTAATCCTTTGAAGTAGTCCACATACAATTTTCCCAGATAAGTTAGATCCATCACACCTTCTATTAACATTATCAACTTCAAGACAGACTTGTTTAGCAAGAATTATCACTGGAGGTCAAATAAAGGGGATCTAATAGTTCCAGGTACTGGAGGGGACATGGTTTTAAAAAGGGAATTTTCATATATTTCCCCAATGCCCATATGTCATGATTTACTGCCATATGGGCCTATTTCTGCAGTAGGCCTTTGTTCACAGAAAATGCTGATTGTTTGAGAAATCAGTGCTCCAAAGAAGAAGTTACTATTCAAGGATAACAACATATCCGGACAAAACCAGCTAGCTGTTGGCTAGTTAGAACCCCCAAGTTTCCCAGTCGCTCTGAAGCCATGTTTGCAACAGACTAACAGATAAGATACAGTCATGGTCAGAGAACAATGGACCATAGTTATGTTATAGTTGTGCCATTGTTAGGATCCCACGTGTGCTATAATGTCAATCAAAATCATAAACAACTAATGAACAACTGCATAGCTAACTTAGACCAATGAAATGATTTGTCT